ACAAGTTTCCTGTCAGTATTTTTTATTAACATTTCTTTCCTTTTTGTTTTCTTGATTCAGAAAATGTTTAAAAAGAAGCTACCTGAAGATGTTGTCACTGACATATTATCACATCTTCCAGCAAACTCACTAGTGCGATTCAAAAGTGTGCGTAAATCGTGGTATGCTCTCATAGAAAGCCTTTATTTTGTCACAATGCAACTCCGTAACAACAATAGCATTCATTTTCTTATCGGTAATCAGATCCTTATTGATACTGGTGACAGTGACACCATAGGAATATTATGGTCCCTACTTACATTTGATGATAAAATGCAGGCAACTTCTAATGGAGAGGATGTTTCTTTTTCTATGAAAAGTTTGGACTTGCCATTTTGCAGTCCTTATAATGGATGGACTGATTTCTCAAATATTTGTGATGGTATTATATGTTTTTATGATAGGATAGATAGAGATGGTATTATGATCATGGCTAATCCAGGAATTGGGGAATTTAGGTTTCTTCCTGTATCATGTTTTCCTCTCCCTAATAGCGATCGATACGATGATTTTCCCTATCCACGTACGACATATGTTGTGGGATTGGGCTTTGATTGCAGAACTAATGATTGCAAGGTTATCAGGATCTTGGAAATTGTGAGTCCTTATTATTCTCCTGGTGAAGTACAGGCCGAGGTATACAGCTCAAGCACCAATATTTGGAGAGAAATTGAGTATGCAGATTATTATGGTATTCCTGAAAATAATGGAAGTTTGTCAACTTATTGGAATGGAGCTTTTTATTGGCCTGCACTGAGATACCAAGATGGTTCTCGTGGAATTCTTTCTTTTAACTTTAGTGATGAGGCCTTTGAATTTACACCATATCCAGAACACTCAATTTTGTTTTACAATTTGATTGAGTTTAATGAGACACTTGCTTTCATATCATATCCTCACCGAGAGCAAGGGATGGAGATTCGCTTTGACATATGGGTGATGGGTGAATCTGGTGCCGTTGGGGTTTGGACAAAGCTATTGTCTACTGAACCTCTCCTTGGAGTGGACAGGGTTTTGGGATTTGGGAAGAGTAATGAACTCTTTGTATTGTTGTCAAGTGGGCTGATTGCATCTTACAATATTGTTACCAACCAAATGAAGACTCTATTGCCAATTGACGGTGAAGATTTTGTGAATAATCACTCTATTGTGCTTTACAAGGGTAGTCTGGTATCAATCAATAGAGAAATTTTTTATGGTAGTTAAACGAGTATGTTTATTTTCCTTTTGAAGATTTTATGAATAATCTCATTTATTCTGTTAAGCTTTATGAACAATTTGTTCAACATTTAAGCTAATATATGGATTTTATACAAATATATGGATTAGCTTATACAA